AGTCCTAATCCACCTGGTGGATCTAGTTGATGAGGGCTGGTTTGTAAACCAATAGAGGTCATTGAGTCTGGTAAATTATTTTGCGCCTCTCTCAATTTTTGGAAACGAGATAATTGTTGCTGTATATTGCACAATGAACATAAAAATCAGATTTACATAGTTAAACGATAATAATATAAATCTTATTACGAGATTACCTGAGTTCGATATACTGATCCTGACAAGTTACGTCCAGAATCATTGATGTCGTCAGGCCCTGTAGGACTTCTACTAAACATATTTAATGGTTCTCGCGTCATTACCATTTGTACGAATTCACCAATATCATCTTCTGGGTCCAATGATGTGAAGAATGACTACACATGTTAAAAGGAATCGGAAATATTATTTCGACTTCAATTATAAAAAATTAGACAAACTATAATATTTATAACTAACTGAATTAAAAGATCCTGATGAACCGTCGCTCCTATTAGTCAAACTTGACCTAGAACGTCTTCGACTAGAAATGCTACCATCTCGTTCCTTTGTTGCAGAGCCACTAGATCTTTCATATCTATAATGACTAAAGCTAGAAGAAAATTTCGGAATTCCCGGACTTCCAGCGGATGAAGTGGATTTCACTGATGATGACAATGGTGCCGTACCGCCATTAATAGATAATGGTCTCGTCGATGACGGTTGTTGATAAACGTTTCGTTGTTGAAGAGATGGCTGTGATGGGGATCTATGTAATGGTGAAGAAGTACGATCAAAATATATCGGCGAAGGCATGCTCATCTCATGGTTTATTGGCGAAGAGGACAAGGATGAAGACTTAAATGGTTGCACTAATGTTACATTGGGCCTAGTGTTTGTTGCTATAGATGATAATGTTGGAAGTAAAGATTCACGCTAAAACAAAATAAAATATGTATTATAATCAACATGTTTTTAGAAAAGAAATAGGTAAATAAACCAAATGTCTAATACTTCGTCTCGTGGTGTTGTTATCGGACTCGCCATAATTGGTTCCAAAAACGTGTTGGAAAGGCGTCGTGAATCCGGCGTTCTCAA